CCACCTGTGTTCTTGCACAGGCTCCCACCTGTGTTCTTGCACAGGCCCCCACCTGTGTTCTTGCACCGGCCCCCACCTGTGTTCTTGCACCGGCCCCCACCTGTGTTCTTGCACAGGCCCCCACCTGTGTTCTTGCACAGGCCCCCACCTGTGTTCTTGCACAGGCCCCCACCTGTGTTCTTGCACCGGCCCCCACCTGTGTTCTTGCACAGGCCCCCACCTGTGTTCTTGCACAGGCTCCCACCTGTGTTCTTGCACCGGCCAGGCCGTCCCCGGCCAGCCCTGTGGGACCAGGAAGGGGACACACCATCAGGGGGTCAGTCCAGCACAGGCTCTGGGCCGGCCTTGGGGACCTCAGCACCCTTCCCCATCGCCCTGGTTCCCGGCCTCGGCTGCGAGGACCGTGGGTGGGGGCCTTGCGGGCCTGGGTGCAGACGGGGAGACGCTGGGCCTTCGTTGTCCTCTCAGCCCAGGCCCACACCTGGGGCAGGTGGGAGCTGGGAGAAGGCGGGGCCTGGGCACTGGCCTCTGCAGAGAGATGTCTGCCAAGAGCAGGGGAGGCAGGCCGGTGGCTGCGGGAGGCTTGATCGGGCCTGATTACAGGCCGGGCGTCCGCTTTCCCGCAGGCCTGTTTCCAGGGCCGGGAAAGCCGCCCTGCTCTCAGCCGGCTGGGAGCCTTCTGGAGGGAACTCGCTTTGTGCTCCCGTTTTCAGGGCGTCTTCCATGTGTGGCAAGGGATCCTGGGTTTTCATTTGGGCTGTGATACAAAGGGCTTAATTGTTTCCCTAAGTGTGTGTTGAAGTTGATTTAAAATGAGTTGATTTAAGGAAACTAAACCAGTAAAAATTAAGGAGATGGCCTGTCAGGAACTAAAGTTTGAGAAGCTCCCCTGAGTCCCCTGCTGCCTACACCCGTGGTCGGCAAACTCATTAGTCAACAGAGCCAAATATCAACAGTACAACGATTGAAATTTCTTTTGAGAGCCAAATTTTTTAAACTTAAACTATATAGGTAGGTACCTTGTTATTAACTTAATTAGGGTCCTCCTAAGCTGGCCTTTGCTAAAAACGTCCCCAATCTGATGGAGGTACGTTTGCTGAGGTCGACCCCTTCCAACTCTCCCATCCACACTCGTCTTGTGTACTTGTTTCGTCCATCTCCTTTCGTTCATCCTCTCTATATGTCCACACCATCTCAACATACCTTTCTCAATCCTCGACACTACATCTTCTTTCACTCCACAACGTTCCCTAAAATTAACTTAATAAACTTTAAAGTTTTAAGTCAACTTCGCACTGTAGGTGCGCGCCCGCACATGGTATTTTGTGGAAGAGCCACACTCAAGGGGCCAAAGAGCCGCATGTGGCTCGCGAGCTGCGGTTTGCCAACCACTGCCCTACACAGTGGCTCTGGGGGAGGAGCAGAGATGGGAGTGGCTCAGGAGGGGGTGCAGTTCTGCCCTGAAGCCTGGAGATGCAGGGCCTCAGTCAGAAATGGGACTGTCCCGGGCCTGGGTGGGGAGCAGGGTGGTGATTGACTGGGAAGTGTGAGGTCTGGAGTGGTGGGGAATGGGAGAGGGGCTGGAGTGAGGAGACTGATGGCTGAGGGGTCCAGGCAGTGGAGAGTGAGGGCAGTCTTTGCAGATCCCTCCCAGCCCCACCCCATCAGAATCCCAGGAGGGGGTGCTGGGCCACACGCCCACCAGCTTGGCTGAGAATGGCCCGGCACCAGGCCTGACCGTCCTGCCCGGATTGTACACTGACTGAGAGGGACATCCCGAAGGAAAGCCTGGTGCTCCTCTGGACGGGGGCTGGAGAGGGGGTGGTCATGGCAAGAGGCTGTGTCCCCAGGGCCTGCACAAGTGACACCACCGTGAGGGAAGGCCCGCCGCATGCATTCACTGGCCCTGCTGTCCCAGAGCCGCCCTCCCTGGAGCCTCTGCACTCCCAACTTTATCCTTGGGAACGGCAGCTTGTCTGGCTCCTGGCCGGTTTGCCACAGCTCCTGTGCCCTTTAATGAATTCCTCGGGGCCTACCTGCAGCCCAAGTCCCGCGGGCACTTCCAGGCAGGTGAACTCTGCCTGTCATCCTGCCACCCAGGATGGGGCACCCCCACCAGGAGGGAGGGCGGAGCCAAAGGGGCATAGAAAGTCCTGTTTTCTCTCCAGACCCAGCTGTGGCCCTTCCTCCTTTGTTCTTGCTTCCCACGGAGGGAAAGTGCCCTTTTGTGTTGGATTCCATGTCGGCCTTCAGCCCACGCTGCCTTCTGGAGAATTCCTGGGCCAGCCCCTGGAGGTGGCCCCTCCTTCCATCCTTCACGGGCTTCTTGACCTGTGACCCAAAGAACCAGAGTTGGGGAGTTCCAGGAGCTGAGATGAGGGGAAAAAATCCATCTTCATTTTCACTAACTATTAACTGAAATTTGGTATTTCCTTGAGTTGTGAATGGAGGCAGCAAAGTCCAGCAGAATTCACAATACTTGTGGCTGTCACACAGAAATTGAAAGCGGACAACCAACGGGTCTGGGCTGCCTGTCACTACTTGAGCCAATTAAGCAGAGACAGGGTTGAGTCATCTATGAGCGTTTATTCCAATAGCGCCGGCAGCAGGGAGAGCAGCAGGTCACCCACAAAATCAGCTCTCTAGCCCCCCCATCAGTCAGCTGCTTATATAGGGTAAGACAAAGACTACATGGGGAAGTAGAGATTACAAGCATGGGGAAGGAGGCAATGTGGGACTCCATTGTTTGAGCAACAAGGTTGTTAATCTTTCCGTGATAATGGGCAGTTCTTGATTGAGAATAGACCACATTCCAAGGTTGACTTCCAGGTCCTGGGGGCATACAACTCCCAGCCAGGTTAGAATGTTCTTTCTTTAACCAGAACAAGGCAATCATGGTTAACAGAGCATGACTGATATTTCCCATAACCACAGCTAGTCCCAGTATCTATTTTGCCCCCAAAATCAAAGGGGTTTTCATACCCACTGCAGGTGCTGCACACACCTCAAAATAGCAGATACAGCCCTAGCTGGTGTGGCTCAGTGGATAGAGCGTCAGCCTGTGGACTGAGGGGTCCCAGGTTCGATTCCGGCCAAGGGCACATGCCTGGGTTGCGGGCTCGATCCCCAGTGGGGGGCGTGCAGGAGGCAGTCAATCAATGATTCTCTCTCATCATTGATGTTTCTCACTCCCCTCTCCTTTCCTCTCTAAAATCAACAAAATATATTTTTTTAAAAATAGCAGCTACATACCCACTTCTACCTGCTGGTTCTGGTACTTATTAGTCCCACCTCTGTATCTTATAATGTCATAATTGTTTTTATATTTTGACTAGAGGCCCAGTGCACGAAATTCGTGCATAGGAGGGGGGTGTGTCCCTCAGCCCAGCCTGCACCCTCTCCAATCTGGGACCCCTTGAGAGATGTCCGACTGCCAGTTTAGGCCTGGTATCGGGCATAAACGGGCAGTCGGACATCCCTCTCACAATCCAGGACTGCTGGCTCCCAACAGTTCGCCTGCCTGATTGCCCCTAACTGCTTTTGCCTGCCAGCCCGATCACCCCCTAACCACTCCCCTGCCAGCCTGATTGATGCCTAACTGCTCCTCTGCTTGCCCAATTGCCCCTAAGTTCCCTCCCCTGCTGGCCTGGTCATCCCTAACTGTCCTTCCCTGCAGGCCTGGTTTGCCCCTAACTGCCCTCCCCTGCAGGCCTGGTTGCCCCTAACTGCCCTCCCCTGCAGGCCTGGTTGCCCCTAACTGCCCTCCCCTGTAGGCCTGGTCGCCCCTAACTGCCCTCCCCTGCAGGCCTGGGTCCCTCCCAACTGCCCTCCCCTGCTGGCCTGATCGTTCACAGCTGCCCTCCCCAGCTGGTGTCCACATAGGGTGGCCATCTTGTGTCCACATAGGGTGGCCATCTTGTGTGTTGGAGTGATGGTCAATTTGCATATTACTCTTTTACTAGATAGGATATTTGCATTTCAATATTAGCAGTCCTTTGTATTGCAATATATTTTATGCATCTCAAAACATGATTTTGTGTGTGGTGGGGGTTTGAATATATTTTTATTCAGAGAGGAGGGAGAGGGAGAGAGAAACATCAATGATGAGGGAGAATCATTGATTGGCTGCCGCCTGCATGCCCCACACTGGAGATCGAGCCGACCACCCGGGCGTGTGCCCTGACCAGGAATTGAACATGACCTCCTGGTTCATCGGTCAGCACTCAACCACTGAGCCATGCTGGCTGGGCTCAAAACATGATTTTAACCAGGGGTCCTTCATCTTCTCTAGATGCTAAGGTGTCTGGCACAGTGAGAGTTTAGAAGTCATGCCTGTCTCACCTCATCCCTTTGCTGGCCTTTCTTTCCTTGAATGCCTCATTCTCGTATTCATTCATGACAAAGGTCCGAGGGGTTCAGAAAGCTAAACCTGGGGGACATGACCGTGCCTGAAGGACAGAGGGCCTCCCTGAGAAAATTAGGTTAAGTGAGTTGACCCAGCGGGGAGGAGGAGTTGCCTCAAAAAGGTGGGCCAAGTGGTTCAGCACATGCAAATGACTCTGTTGAAGGAATCCCCAGGCCAGCCAGGGCAATGCTCAGTGACAGCGGGCACCAGAGGCAGACGGGGTAGGGCAGAGCACCAGGACCTGGCACACCTGGTCACCTATTTGGGTTTTTACCCTTGGAGCTATGGGACCCTCCAAAGCAGGGAGAGGAAGGGGGCTGCCCTGGGGTTGAGACAGTCAGATTTGCATTTTTAAGTGATTAATTGTTCAAGTGTAGAGAAGGGACTAGAGAGAGGAAGACAGGAAGCAGGGGAAGGAGTCTAGAACAGCGGTCACCGATCTTTCAGGCCTCATGGACCACCAGTTGGTGACCGCTGGTCTAGAATACACAGCTGTGGCATGAAAATCATTTTGAGCTGAAGGCATTTGCGAGTAGGCTTTTTCCTGAAGTCTCTTACCTGCCTAAAAGCAGAGCCTCCCAACAGAACTCAGTTGTCCTAAATCCCTTCCCGGGAGCAACCCGGGAAAGATTGATCTTACTGATACGTGCAGATGGGCCTGGATTCTTCCAGTGGGTTCTTGTCCTACAAAGTTTGAATAATAAATGCATGATTTTATGGGGGGATAAGGACGCATGTAATACGTTAATCAATAAAGAAAATTTTAAAAATTCACGATTTTAAACAAAAATGTGAAGGTTTATTGCATGCATGTACAAACTCTCCCTAGAGAGGGGTCTCCTTTGGGAAAAGCCTGCTCTAACATGGGGGAAAATCGAGTCCTCCGAGTCTCTTTGTCTCTGGGTTTATAAAGGCTGCAGCTCTTTGTCTCCTCGTGACCCTCTCTAATTGGACCCTTCCTTAATTTATGACCCCCGTGCTTTCCTAATTGGTCATTCTCCAGATAATCAGTTTCAAAGATCAAAGCCTGCCTGGTGCCCCCCTGTCCCTCTCCTCATGTCTTGTAACATTCCTCTATCCTCTGTGAATGTAGGTCTTCCCTTATCCTGTGGCATTTCTCTGTCCTCTGTAAAAGTGAGATAGCATTCTGGTGGCTCCAAGCCCTCACCTATGCGTTCTTCTCCCATGGACACCCACCCCCCCTTTTCCCTAAAACTGCCTGTCCTGTCTCTAAAATCCCTTTTATTATCACCTAGCAAACCCAGACAGTATGGCAAAACTATCAATCATACCTCTCATCTTTTCTCCTAAGGGTCCATTTATCTTTCCTAAAAGTCATTTGTTTCTCCTATAAGTACCTTTCTCCTCCTCCTTCCCCCCTGCTCCCCTATTAAGTTGCTATATATAAGCCCCCCAATTCTAACTGCCTACTACTTGAATAAAAGTCTGTTTTTGTTCTTGTTAGTCTGTCTTATGTCAGTTTAATTCACAGGCCCCAAGTACTGAACCTAAGAGGGTAGAGAAAAAGTCTTCTGCCTCCACACAGGCATCTCTCCACAGAGAGAGCTGGTCTGGGATGGGGATGGGGGTTAGAGATGGAAAGAAGAAGGTGGGTTCAGGACACTCTTTAGGAGATCGTATATCATTGAGGTCAAGAGCATGGACACAAGCCTGCCTGGGTTCATGATTCTGGGTCTACCACTGTGTGACTTAATCCTTTTTGAGCCCATTTCCCGGGGTGCGGGGGGGGGGGGTGTAAAATGAGAGATAATGATGTTAAAATAGGCTTGATTATGCCCTGTAATAACCCAAAATTTCTGTGATTTAATAAAGGTATATTTCTCAAAGCTGTGTATCTAGCAAGGCTCCGCTGGGTGCTCTGCTATGGAATAAGCACCCAAACATCGAAGGCTTCCCGGGCAAAGGGAAAGAGCCCTAAAAACGCCAGCCCTGGCCACTGAACAGCTCCAGCTCTGCCTCTGAAGGGTACATGGCTCTTCTGTCGCAGGTCCTTGGCCAGGACTAATCACATGGTCTCCCCTCAACAGAGCAGGTGAGTTAATACATAGAAAACATTCAGAATGCTTCCTGGCGTAAGAGAAGCACTACTGTGATTATTGGGAAGTACAATCCACCGGAACTGCTGTGGTTTGAGGGCATGGTCACAGCTGACCCTCGTGCTTCTGGCCTGCATTTTGGTGATATAACTACACTGAGAACGCCAGGCTGGCCTCTGTTGTGGAGAGATGATGATTCATACTCTTGGATCCAACTGACCAAGACCAAAATCAACAGATTTAAGTGTCTCGTGATCCAGTATCAGGCCTGTGGGGACCTAGAAGCTCAGATGATGAAATCGGGCCTTGGTCTCCTGCTCCGCGTAGGTGGACTCCAGCTTCCAGGGGTCCCCTGTGGGCATTTCACCCACCAGCCTGCGTTATATGTGCCTTCCTGACCCGGCTACAGTGAGTGCTCTAGTTGGCCAAACCTGGGCCGTGGGCCTACCCACGGTAGGGGAGGAATGAGTCCCCAAAGGAAAACTCCCATCCAGAAAAGCGATGGATATCGAGCATGGCAATGGGCATGGGGAATGCACATCAAATCCGGGAGCAGGAGGAGCAAGGCTTTAACCCCTTTCCTCCAGGGAACCGCAGAGCCTGAGGGTGGGGAGCGGGTCCCCACAGCCCTCTCTCAGGGTGTACCCTGCTCAGCTGCCAGCTTCCCATCTCACATGCTTTTAACAAGGTTACAGCGGCGGCTATGCGGCCAACTTGGGCCTGGCCTCCAAGAGACGCAGGCCCTGTGGGCCCTCCAGCCCTCTCTTCTCTTCTCTCCTCAGCTCAGGGTCTGCCAGACCATAACTCCTGGGCACTAGGCAGGGCAGGATGCTGAGAACCCAGCCTCAGCCACGAGGGCCTCCCCACACCCTCCCCCACCTGGTCACTTGCGCAAAGCCAGGCTGCACCCCTGTCCCGTGGTCAGGTGGCTGGAGGCCAACCACCCGGCATGGCCGCCTGCCCCCCAGTCAGGAGGCAGGATGGGGGCAGCGCTCTAGGTCCAACAGGTGCATGGTCCCCGAGCGCCCCTCCCGGAACACGGACGACCTCAGCTCCCACGTGCCAGGCGCGGGACACAAGCTGAGCAAAAGGGGTGCCCACGGCCCTCGGGTCCGCAGGGATGTGAAGGAGCTGGGTCGGGGATGGAAGGCCGAATGGGAGAAGGGGAGCCCAGGCTCCAGGCACTGGCCGTTCGCAGGGTTTTGGAGCAATCTCTCCAAAATCGGCGCCCTCGGTGGTGGTGGTGGGGAGGGGGCGAGGGTGGGGGAAGACTTGGAACAGAGCCCTGAGCCCGACCCCCAAATTCCAGAGCTCCGCGGCCAAGTGTCGGGCTGACTCGGCTGCTGCCCCAGCCGGGTGGGGAGCCCCTGCACCCTTCTTCTCCTGCAGCTTCTGTCACCCAGTCTGCCAGGCTCCGGCCCGGGGCGCCACGC